GTCGCCCATAGCAGACCATCGCCAAAACCAGGTATGTGCCCTCACATCATCAGCATCATCATCATCCTTCTCTCTCTCCCTCTTCTTACTCTCACGTCTTCCCTCTGTACACCCGAAGACCACCCCTGCGCCTCACTGTAGTCCAAGCCCAATCAGCATCATCATAGTAGTCCAAGCCCAACCAGCGATGGAGGCTGGGCTATGGCGCTGCCCTCAGCAGCGCCCTGCTCTCTGCACGACCGCACGCGCTAGCACCTCGCCTCTCAGCGCCAGCAGCAGCCCACGAGCGTCCGCTCCAGCAGCGCTGCCACTAGCATGCGAGTGCCTGAACGAGGCTGCCAGTGGTGAGCTCTTTCCTCTATGGAAAGAGCCTCCTGCGTTCGCAGACTGGCTGGACTGGCCTGGGCCCAGAAGCTTCCGGTAGGCCCCAGGATGCTGCGCTTGTGTTGCAGCTACTGGGCCTCTTTCGGTTGGGCCTCACAACTGTCAGTGTATGAGGCTGCGATTCTCGCCCAGGGCCTGCATTCTTGGAAAGGCCCAGAAGGCCGTGGAATGTCTTTGTCGCTCGGCCTGTCTTTCCCGTAACCAACCGGCGCGTCGCAACTGTCTGGACCCCCAAATACGAAATTGACAGTCAAGGGCCTCTCGTGATTTGTTAGGCCCGCCTTCACTTAGGGCGGGCACGTATGCAACAGGGGGCCCTTAGGCCTGCCGAGGACCGAGATCCTCGCAAGGGTATTTTGATATGATGGACGGTACTTGGAAGGGGTATATTGCAAAGATGGGGGGTCCAACCGACACGAGGGGTATTTCACAAAATAATTTTTTTTGTCCGAGGGGCATTCTGTTCTACTCACATCTTTCAGGGGCATTTTGGCATGTATCTCAACTTATGGGGGTATTTTGCAAATTATCCTTTATATTATTCATTATTAATCATCATTAATTATTTATAATATTATATTGATTTGTAATTTTGTATTGATTGAATTTGATTCTATTGAATCTATTGATAAGTATTTGACCATGGCCTTATTGTCATTGCTCGCTAACACTCTGCGTAGCATCAAAACACTTATGAAAAATTATTATGTATTCGCTTTCTTTTTCAACATTCTTGTAGACTTCAATCATTGGCGCATTTTTTTATTTATTTTTTATCTGGACCATTTCTTGATTTGTCTGTGTCGTCCTTACGCAGGGGCCATGCTACTCTTCTCTGTATCATTCCAATTTTAAGTTTTAACCGATGACCCGACGGACATCTGCTAGGTGGATTTCGCACCACCATTACCAGATATTTTCTGAGAGTGACTGTCTGAAGGAAAAAACATAAAAAGCAATAACATCATGATGTGTAAAAAAAATAACGCCAAGAAAAGGAAATAAATAGACAGCATGAAATTTGGCAACGAAGAGATGTCGTGCGACAACTTACTTATTATCATTCGTGCCATTTTCCCCATGTGCACGCTTCCTCTTCAGAGACGAGCTGCTACCTCCTTCGCCACTCCCCTCGACCGTTGTAGGTGACGATGATTTCGACTTCGCTGTGACATTCCCTTGGCCTTTCTTCTTTCCTGACTGTGCTGGGGCTGACACCGTCTCTTTCTCCTTGACGGCTGTACTCGTGCCCGGGATAAGGATGGGCTCCAGTTCCCTCCACACAAGCTCTTCCTCATCACCGTCCTCGTACTTCACCTATTAACAAGTGAATGCCATACATGGAGATGGCGAACAGGATTAATATCATCATCAACATAGTGACAATTTAACTCAACATACGCTGACGGCAAAACAGAGTCGAAGACAGCGAGACAAAAATAATGATCTCGAGCTTTTCACAGTTTGAAATGTCTCCCTTCCTTCTCTTTTTCCTCTGTGTTTTCAGCCACAGAGAAACTTCAACAAGCTTCCTCCTGGCCTCATGACACACAGACATACAGATGTGTACAGGATGCCTGCATCACATATTTCCAAAGACAATCTCTCTCTCTCTCTCTCTCTCTCTCTCTCTCTCTCTCTCTCTCTCTCTCTCTCTCTCTCTCTCTCTCTCTCTCTC